TTGAAGTGAATGTCTTCGCTATTGTTGCACCCGGCAGCATCTCCCCCTGTGAGAATCAAGACTTCCCTCACTTTTCAAAACAAATTAGCTGTATTTTGTATTCTTGCTGGCTAAAAACCTTGCCTCCTCTATTAATATAATTGGGAGCTGCAGCTGCCTCCTCTCCAAGGATCCCGCTACGACTTGCCAGACTGGTCCTTCCTGCAGATTGAAATGTGTTTGTGATACACGCTGGGAACCCATTAACCTTCAAACGCCATGAGGAGACCTCAGAGCCAGGTGCCACTAAAACTGCAAAGCGGCCTCCATCTCCTGGTCCTCTCTTTTAATTATTTTGGAGAGTGTTTCACGGGACCAGCTGGGCTACAAAGGGGCTCAGAGTCTGTATCTAGGGGAGTGCAGCCCTCACTTGCCCACTTCAGAGCGCTTATGAAAATCATCTTCAGGCAGCACTGCTGTGAAATCTAAGCATAGCGCAGGCAAGCTTTGTCCAGGCTGCTCACAGTCATCTCTGCCACTGAGCCTCACTCCTAACCTGCAGCCATCTGCCATTCCAGTCCTGCCCCCGACCCAGCTCAACGATCCTCAATCCCAATTTGCAACCCATGCTGTTCCAGTCTTGGCCCCTTCCCGTCAGTTCTGCCAGTGACCCTCAGTCCTGACCCTTGCTTTTAAAATGCTTATCCTAAAATGTATCCCAACCTGTTCCTGAGAGGAAACACTTGCTCTCCGTTGAGATTGGTGCTGGGTTTGCTAGTTTCTGCCAGCTCTGGAATGCCCTGCGAACAACCTGCCTTGTGGTCTTTCGGTATTTCTGTTCCCTTTCCCAGGCCAAGCTAGGAGGACACAAAATAGCCCTAGCCCCAGGCCAGAAAATTCAGATGTGGATCTACATTTCAAACATCCAAAAGACAGGGGCTTTGGATCCAGACACCCCCTGAGCCACTTTGGGGGAGGCCCCTTTCAAGCAGACACACGTGAACTGAACTGTTCAGAAAACGGGATTTCCATTTCAATGGAAAACCTGATACTTTGACTTTTGTTTTCATCTCAAATTAGTATGAAAACATCAAAATATCCAACATTTCATATGAATATTAAAATGTTGGTACCAAATGAAACGTTTCATTTCACAATGTCAACTTTTGTAGTTGTTGACATTTTTGAATGTTGATTCAAAACCAGTGTTTGGTTTGGAATTTTCCCCTTTGAAAATTAGAAAATGTGGTGGAAATTGACAGTTTCCTATGAAAAATGTTGATTCTGACGAAACCCTGTTTCGTCAGGCAAATTTTTAGGTAGACAAGTTTCAGTCAATTCTACACATGAACGTTTAGGAAGAAAAAAAATTGGCCAAACTTTTTTCCAAACCTCACGAAGGACTCCAGTCAGATTCAGCCCAGGGTGTGAGCAAAGGAATGAAACAGTCCTTATTCTATCCAAAGTAATGCACCCATGCCTTGCTCAACTGGCATTTGGCATGGACAGTGCAGTATGCCCTCTGTAACAGACAGGGACAAGTCAAAATAGCAATGACTTAACCTGTGTTTTTGCTGCACACCACTCTTTATCCAGATGAAATTTACAGCCTGCCTGATCATGCCCAACTATAAGTGATCATCAAGTCAAATTTCAGAGTAACAGCCGTGTTAGTCTGTATTCGCAAAAAGAAAAGGAGTACTTGTGGCACCTTAGAGACTAACCAATTTATTTGAGCATAAGCTTTCATGAGCTACAGCTCACTTCATCGGATGCATACTGTGGAAACTGCAGAAGACATTATATACACAGAGACCATGAAACAATACCTCCTCCCACCCCACTCTCCTGCTGGTAATAGCTTATCTAAAGTGATCACTCTCCTTACAATGTGTATGAAAATCAAGGTGGGCCATTTCCAGCACAAATCCAGGTCTTCTCACCTCCCCCCCCCACCTCACTCTCCTGATGGTAATAGCTCATCCAAACTGACCACTCTCCTTACAATGTGTATGATAATCAAGGTGGGCCATTTCCAGCATAAATCCAAGTTTAACCAGAACGTCTGGGGGGGGAGAGGGGAGGATAGGAAAAAACAAGGGGAAAATAGGCTACCTTGCATAATGACTTAGCCACTCCCAGTCTCTATTTAAGCCTGAATTAATAGTATCCAATTTACAAATGAATTCCAATTCAGCAGTTTCTCGCTGGAGTCTGGATTTGAAGTTTTTTTGTTTTAAGATAGCGACCTTCATGTCTGTAATTGCATGACCAGAGAGATTGAAGTGTTCTCCGACTGGTTTATGAATGTTATAATTCTTGACATCTGATTTGTGTCCATTTATTCTTTTACGTAGAGACTGTCCAGTTTGACCAATGTACATGGCAGAGGGGCATTGCTGGCGCATGATGGCATATATCACATTGGTGGATGTGCAGGTGAACGAGCCTCTGATAGTGTGGCTGATGTTATTAGGCCCTGTGATGGTGTCCCCTGAATAGATATGTGGGCACAGTTGGCAACGGGCTTTGTTGCAAGGATAGGTTCCTGGGTTAGTGGTTCTGTTGTGTGGTATGTGGTTGCTGGTGAGTATTTGCTTCAGGTTGGGGGGCTGTCTGTAGGCAAGGACTGGCCTGTCTCCCAAGATTTGTGAGAGTGTTGGGTCATCCTTCAGGATAGGTTGTAGATCCTTAATAATGCGTTGGAGGGGTTTTAGTTGGGGGCTGAAGGTGATGGCTAGTGGCGTTCTGTTATTTTCTTTGTTAGGCCTGTCCTGTAGTAGGTGACTTCTGGGAACTCTTCTGGCTCTATCAATCTGTTTCTTCACTTCCGCAGGTGGGTATTGTAGTTGTTAGAATGCTTGATAGAGATCTTGTAGGTGTTTGTCTCTGTCTGAGGGGTTGGAGCAAATGTGGTTGTATCGCAGAGCTTGGCTGTAGACGATGGATCGTGTGGTGTGGTCAGGGTGAAAGCTGGAGGCATGTAGGTAGGAATAGCGGTCAGTAGGTTTCCGGTATAGGGTGGTGTTTATGTGACCATTGTTTATTAGCACTGTAGTGTCCAGGAAGTGGATCTTTTGTGTGGACTGGACCAGGCTGAGGTTGATGGTGGGATGGAAATTGTTGAAATCATGGTGGAATTCCTCAAGGGCTTCTTTTCCATGGGTCCAGATGATGAAGATGTCATCAATATAGCGCAAGTAGAGTAGGGGCATTAGGGGACGAGAGCTGAGGAAGCGTTGTTCTAAATCAGCCATAAAAATGTTGGCATACTGTGGGGCCATGCGGGTACCCATAGCAGTGCCGCTGATCTGAAGGTATACATTGTCCCCAAATGTAAAATAGTTATGGGTGAGGACACAGTCACAAAGTTCAGCCACCAGGTTAGCCGTGACATTATCGGGGATAGTGTTCTTGACGGCTTGTAGTCCATCTTTGTGTGGAATGTTGGTGTAGAGGGCTTCTACATCCATAGTGGCCAGGATGGTGTTATCAGGAAGACCACCGATGGATTGTAGTTTCCTCAGGAAGTCAGTGGTGTCTCGAAGGTAGCTGGGAGTTCTGGTAGCGTAGGGCCTGAGGAGGGAGTCTACATAGCCAGACAGTCCTGCTGTCAGGGTGCCAATGCCTGAGATGATGAGGCGCCCAGGATTTCCAGGTTTATGGATCTTGGGTAGTAGATAGGAGTCAAAGTGCCTCTTTTGTCCACTGATTGTAAAGTTAATTTAAATTTTAAACAAACCGAGATAATCAAGTAGTGTTGCATGTGAGTGAAGGAGTGGTGAAATCGGAGAAGAAGCAGGCTTTTGGGAGGAAGACACGGACCTGGGATGTAGGAGATCTGGGTCCAATTCCTAGCTCTGCCATAGACTTACTGTATCACCTTGGGGCAGGTTTTTAATCTTCTTAGGCCATGTCTACACTACGCAGCTTTTAGCAACGCAGCCGTGTCGATACAGCCATGTCACTCAAAGTCTGGCAGTGTAGCTGCTGTTTGTCGGCTCTTTTGCTGACAAAATACTTCCACAACCAATGAGTGGCGTTCGCGTTGTTGGCAGGAGAGTGCTCCTACTGACAATGCGCTGTTCTTACTGGCACTTGCCGTGGCAAAACTTTCTTTCTTGTCTTTCGGGGGAGGGGAGGGAGAAGGGTTAACACCTCTGAATAACAAAAGTTGTGTCGTTCAATTGCCAGTGTTGACATGGCCTTATTTGTCTAGCTTTAAAATGTAAGCTAGCAAGACAGAGTCCTTGCCCCAAAGAGAAGTGTACACAGAAATGACAGACAAAGGGCAGGGGAAAGGAAGTATTATCCATATGTTCCATATGGGGAATTGAGGCACAGAAAGATTAAACCATTTCCTCAAGGTCACAACAGGAAATCTGTGGCAGGCCAGCAATTCACCCCTGTCCCCGAGTCCTTCCCATCTTTCCTACACCAGCTTTATCGCCAATGAGCCTTTGGGAGGAGAGGACTTGAGCACCTGGATTCTGATGGGAGTTCTTGGTTCTGAGCAGCCTAGAGCAATGTGAATGACAACAGATGCGAGAGTAAAGAGGCAGATTCAAGACAAACGACACGTGTCCGATGCCTCATTCCAATTGTTTTCAACATTGCTTCTTCCTCTCCTCCCAAAACCAGCAAATACTCAAAGGATTGTCTCTGCATAATTAAATGACTTAATAGACTGAGTATGTTTGCTAAAAGCCTCTCATCATTGCCACCTTTGATCTATACTCTTCCAATAGCAGCATCCATGATACCGGCAAGATGCCAGTGTGGATGGATATACTTGCAAAGGGAATTCTGAAGAAACAGAGCATAGAAATTCTCATTGAATCCACCATTTTTTTTAAAGTAGGTTGCTTGTTTGTAGCTATCAGAAACCCTTCGAGAAGGGAGGATGTAGTCTGGGAAATTCAGGAACCTTTTATTTCCTGATGACTCTGATAACAGTTTTTCCCCCACAACTAAACGGATCTACTGATTTAAGGCATTTGAACACCTCTCAATCTTTATAGGTATTCTCACAGCGTGTCGGTGAGGGAGTATTTCTGGCCGCCCCATCTCAAAATGGAGATAGTGGAACTGGAAAACGTCCAGAGAAAGGCAACAACAATGATCAAGGGGATGGAACGGCTTCCATAGGAGGAGAAACTAAAAAGGTCAGGACTGTTCAGCTTAGACAAGAAACAACTAAGGGAGGATCTGATAGATGTCTACAAAATCATGGCGGGTGTAGAAAAAGCGAAGTGAGCAATGTTATTTAGCCTTTCCCATAATACCAAATTTCATCAGGTGACCCTGGCTTAACAGGCAGGAGGTTTAATACAAACACGAGGAAGTTACTTTTTCCACACAACTAACCTATGGAACTCATTGCCAGGGTATGTTGTAAAGGCCCAAAGTATAACTGGGTTCAAGAAAAGAACTGGGAGGATCAGTCCATCAATGGTTACAAGCCAAGATGGTCAGGGATGCAACCCCATGCTTGGGGAGAGCCTGAACCTTTGACTGCCGAAGCTGGCAGTCAAAGACAGGAGTAGATTTCTCCATAATTGCCCTGTTCTGTACACTCCCCATGGAGACAGGATACTGTGCAAGGTGGACCCCGGTCTGACCCAGGATGGCAGCTCTTGTGTTCAAAGTCACATAGAGCGTATGTTAAAGGGAACCAGGTTCCCTTAAATCCCAAGCAAGTGCCCTAACCATTGGGCCATTCTTCTTCTCACTATCTAAATCAATGATATAATCTGTATGCTTGTGGTAGAGAGAGCTAGGAGAATGCTGATAACATATGATCAGCCTGTGGAACTCACCATCACAGGATTCAGCTGAAGCAAACAAATTTGGATGGAAAATTGGTTTTCAACTAAATGCAATTTTTTCTGTGAGGTTTTGGTATTTTGACCAAAAGTTGGAATTTCCAGGGGAAAAAGCAAAGGCATGAATGTAGTAGGGGTAGGCACACCCGTGCTAGCTTTAACCCAGATAGCATGGGCAACCGGGGAAATCGAGAGGCTGCAGCATTGGCTAGCAACCCAACCTGCTGGGGAGGACGGGTACATGCTCTGATTGCCAGCCTATACTGCCACATCTCCATTACCGTTGGTACCCACTGAAGTGGCAGAGAGGGGCTCAGGTAGGACAGGTGGGCAAATGCCTCCCACAGATTTTTGCTCTCCCTTTCTATAGATTTATAGATCTCAAGGCAAGAAGAGACCATTAGATCACCCAGTCACACCTCCTGTATAACACAGGCAGAGAACCTCACCCATCTACCCCTGCACTGAGCCCAGCCATAGCTCAAGCCGTGCTCTGGATCTGAAGACATCAAAAGGTGGAGAATCTGCCACTTCCCTTGGTCGTTCGTTCCACTGGTTAATCACTCCTGCTGGTAAATTTCTTCACCTTGTTTCTATTTTGTATTTGTCTGGCTTGCACTTCTAGTCACTGGTTTTTGTTCTGCTCTGTGGACATCTTGATTATTTCCCCAAGTACAAGACAAGGCCATAAACTCCAGGTCTGAGCTGAGTTGACGCAAGAACAGAAATAAGCTGCTGTTGTAAGGAATGGATAGGAGGCATGGACAAGGCCCTCCAGATGTTCAAGCCATATGACACCCTGTGCAGGGCTGTGGCATGGTATGCAAACATTGGGGGGATTTGTAGTACAGATGGATCTAGGTAATGCCTTAATAATTCACAACGCTGCAGCAACTGGTCCTTTCCTCTGCTCGACGTCTGAATTTGACGGATGTGATGTTTCCCCTCCTTTGATGGTTATGGCAGGTGTCCCACCTGTGCTCAGTGACACAGAACCTTGAGCAATTAGTAGAAGCACCCAAACATTTGACTGTTTATCTGAACTCAACTCACATGCAAACCTTTGGAGCTTGGTTCATTGCTGCCCATTACCAACTGGAAATCCAAAGTTGATTTGGATCATAAATAGTAATATGTGCTTCACTCCGGGGCATTGCAGAGACAGGGGATGATGTCACTGTGTCAGGGCCAAGCCATAGGCATAGGTCAAGTAGCAGGGGTAAGCCAGGTCAGGATACCAGGATCAGGCACCAAGCAGCAGTCAGGTGCGAGCTGGGTGAGGCAAGTAGCAGGGTCAGGGACAAACCCAGGTCAGAAGCCAGAGTCTAGGGCCCACAGCAAGGCAAGCTCTAGAGCAGGAGCTAGCCGGCAGCCCACATCATTGCTGAGACAGCTCCCACAGCGGGCTTCCTGGTTTATATACCAGGACGAGCCAATCAGTGGGCTGCAGGGGGCCACCACTTCAGGCCTTTCAGGGCGGTCCTTCCTGTGGTGTCGAGCTTTACAGGCTTCTCCAGCAGAAACCCAGCCCGAGCTTCCAGAAGCGATGTGGAAATGTTGTAGCCTACAACCCCTCCACCGTCATTGTCCCAAGTTTTAGTCCCACAGGTTCTTGCACCTTGGAACTCAGAAATACAGTCCCCTATTCCCAGCTCTGCCTGTGACCTTGGACACATCACATCCTGTGTCGGTTCCCCTTCCTACCCTCTGTTTAGGTTGTAAGCTCTTTAGGACAGGGAGTGTTGGAAGCCTAGCATGATAGGACCCCAATCTCAGCCAGGACCTCTAGGTGCTACCAAAAAAACTAATAAATAATTTCACAGAGCGCTGTGTCATTAGCATCTGTGTTTTATAACCTGAGCTGCAAAGAAAGGGTTAGCGCATGGTCCAAAGTAGGTGGGATTTATTATGACAATGATCAAATTATCTTAATGGCTTGTCAAGCAGCTGTCATATCCAGAGTCTGCCTATGACAAGGACTGGAAAGTGAAAGCAATCTGTTTAGCTTGTTTACCATCAGGATGATCCGGACATGCCGGAGTCACTAAAGGAAGAAAAGGCATCTCGGAAGAGTTGGGGCTGTTTAATTATAGCAGGCTGAGTTGGCTTTCTGCAGCACAGCAAAGGACTCTCCAAGCACATAAATCAAAACCTGCAGCAGCGTGAAATTTGACCAAAGCAAACCAAATTAAATGTCCAAACCTATACACGAGGATTTTTCTTTAATAGCTGCTTCTTCACTGCATTCTTCAGTAGGGGGATGGGGGAAGCTTCTTGGCTTGAGATGATGATAATCTCTCAGGGAGGCTGATCACTGGGCATGGTGCTGACAATGGTGGGTGCGGTGGGATGCGAGGAAGGGAGTGAGGTGACATTTGGTAGGCACCAGGGGAGTTGTACCTCAGACAAACTGTATCCCCAGAGCAAATGCAGGTCCAGTGAGGTAACTGGAGAATCCCACCAAACCTGAGGGGTGAATTCCACTGAGTAACACTGAGTTCTTTCTGGTAAAGAAAGAACCGTCCTGTGGGCCAACTGGAATGTTGGGGCGGATTCTCATACGCAACTGAGGGCTTGAGGAGCAGGTCTCGTGGTTGAGGCACCACCCTGGGAACTCAGAGACCCTCGTTCAATTCCCCACTCTGCTACAGGCTTCCTGTGTGACCTTGGGCAAGTCATCATGTACCCCCTCTGTGCCTCAATTTCCCCCTGTAACATGGGGATAATTGTCCTGCCTCACAAGGGTGTTGGGAGGATAAAGGCAGCAATGAGGGCAAGATAGCCTGGAAGTACCACTGACTTTTAGAGACAGGGGCTTCTAAATCTCTTTGGTGCTTTTTGGAAATCTGCCCTTAAGGGTTTCGGTCTCTGCCAAGTTCAGATAAAATAGAACAGCAGCTGGGGAGAGTCAATAAGAGGTGGGGTTAAAGGAGAAAAGGTGTCAATCAGCCTAACTTCACTGTAGTCAAGGGAGCCACGCTGTTTTACACCAGCTGAGGATCTGGCTTGCAGATGGCATTTAAAAGGAGGGAGAAGAGTGCACAGGGCTAATCCACATGGCAAGAGCCCCATATCTCATGGGCAGAGAAAAGCCAGAGGAGAGGCAGATGCTGGATAAGTGGGGAAGGGAGATAAGCCCGTAGAGAATTTAACAAACAAGCCTTGGGTGGGCTTTTCACAAGCACCCAGCCCATCGGATGCAATTCTTCTCCCTTTGAGCACCTCTGGCTTTCAACAGGAGCAGAGGTAGGTCAACCCTGAGCACTTGTGAAAATCCAGCTGAAAGGAGCAGCTTGGGTTGGATTCTGGACTAAAGGGGGAAGACAGTGGAAGTGTGACGGGAGCCAGGCTCTTTGCTTGTGCCAGCAACTGGAGCAAGGGCTTGGGAAGAGCAGGGTGGAGATCAGTCATGGTTAAGGCAACAGGAGGATGCATGGTGAAAGCAGCAGCAGCCAATGAGTCCTGCAGTGACGATCTACCTGTCCCCCCATTGCTGTTGTACCAGAGCACCCAGTGAAGTCAGGCAGGGCTATAATCCCCATTTTACTAATGGCACAAAGAGACGAGTGAATTCCCCAAGCTCACACAGGGAGACTGTGCCAGAGCTAGGAACCGAATCCAGGGCATCAGAGTCCCAAAGTAGCACGTCAAGCGCCAGAACATCCTTCGTCCTGCTGATGCCAGTCATCCCGGCTGCAGGTTCCAGCTGAGCTCAGCTCCTGCGTGTCACATAGCACATAACAGCCCCCTGACAAATGAGGCCCATGGTTTGGGAGAATGTAGTTACTGAGTGGAGAGCCCATTCAGTCATCTTTACAAGTCACCCAGACATGCGGAGAGAGGTACAGAATGCCTACCAAATGCAGGAGAATAAAGCAAGAGGGTCTAGACTCGGAGGCCCAGAGTTTTAAACCTCATGTACAACACAGGTCTGACACAGGAGGAAGTGTAGCTTTGCAAACCTCTCGCATAGTCCATTGCAACGATCTGTATCCAAGGCAACAATGGCTGCCTGGGGAAAAAATGGGACCCAGAAAGTTAATACAAACAAGTTGCTTTCTGAGCAAGTTTGGGGTAATGAGAGCATACGACATGCATTTGCGGTGCTCTGCACTGGCTGCCAGTCATCTACTGGAGGAGGTTCAAGGGCTGGTTAACGAGGAGCAGATTTCTAAATGTATTTAGGTGCCTAAAGACACAGATAGGCTTTTGTAATCCCTCGAGGTGCCTAAGGCACCCATGCACTTTAGAAAATCCCACGGGGCACCTAGCTGTATCTTTAGGCACCAAAATAGCATTAAGAATCTGGTCCCAAATCCAAAGCTCTGAATAGCCTCGGGCTGAGCCACCTCCAGATTCCTCCTCTGTGAGCCAGAGGGCCAGGGGTTTTCAGGGTTCTTATTTGTATTTAGAGCTCATTGAAAGGTTTGGATTTTCAAACATGTTGGAAAAAGCAGCGAAGGTTGCACACGAGAAAATGTTGGCAAGTATTGCACTGGCGTTTGAACCAGCTCGGCTTGAACTACATGAGCACCCAGACCCCACAAGTGAGCTCAGGGCCCCATTGCGGCAGGTGGTGCAAGACACAAAGTAAGAGCCAGTCACTTTCCCCCAGTCCCAAGAGCTCACAGTTCAACTAGACAAGGAGATGGAGGAAACCGAGGGGAAGCAACTGGCCACGCAGCATGTTAGCAGCAGAGGATGGAAGAGAACCCAGGTGTCTGACTCCCAGCCCAGTGCCCTGTGCACTAGACTAGACAATTCTGCCTCTCATGTAGCCCAGCATAAGATGATTGGCTAAGGGTGAGCTCGAGGGAGTGGGGCCCAAAGCCATGTTTGGAGCAGACACTCCCCACACTGGACTGCACACCCGTCAAAAAGGCAGCTAAAAATGTGACATTCAGGAAAACCAGAAGGGGCTCAGATTCCCCTAATACCTCATTTTCCCTTTTCCCCTCAAGAGAGTTAGGTAAAATGGGATTGGACGCTTCCAGCCCCCGGGAAATATTGTTGCTTGTCGTGCAAACCGGACTCCACTACCACAGCCCTGGGTACTGTATAAATAATGACGAAAGCCCCAGCTCTGACACCTTTCAGAGGAGCAGCCCTGTTAGTCTGTGTTCGCAAAAAGAACAGGAGGACTTGTGGCACCTTAGAGACTAACCAATTTATTTGAGCATAAGCTTTCGTGAGCTACAGCTCACTGCATCGGATGAATTCACGAAAGCTCATGCTCAAATAAATTGGTTAGTCTCTAAGGTGCCACTAGTCCTCCTTTTCTTTTAGCTTTGAAAGAGAATCCATGCTTGGGCGTGGCAGGTGAGGGGCCCTGGAAAGGGAGAGCAACAGCTCAGCTTCTCAGCTTTCAACACCAGGCTGCATTAGGGCTCTGTCCTATTGAATCACGTCCGTGTGTGGGTTGCTAGGTGCTTTACACATCCCAGGGTTAGGAGGACGTGTCAGAAAGCTCGTACGTCGCGTGCACCCAATGGGGAAGGAAACCCTCCTGGAGTCAGATGGGGGAAAAGCGATTTCAGAAGTGTTTGTTTTTCTTTTTCAGGGCTAAA